CCCGTCTGTTTCGACGCGAGACAGTGGCGCCTGTCCAGCGGGGGACGTCAATCGGACGGGAAGTCCACATTGCATTGGAGACAACTCCCCGAATAGGCGCAACAGACGCGTCTTCGACGCCAGCCAGAGGCCCCGAAACACCGGCACTCAGCATTCCGAGCGCAGAGGGGCGCGGGATCCCAGCAACGCCCAGCCACTGCCATTCAAGCGGCATGGGAACCTTTCTTATGCAAATTCGACTGGCGGGGAAGCGCCAAAACCCCGCCTGACCTTGCCCCGCTGGAACTGCCCTGAGCAGGCGGCGGGGCCATCGAATCATTGGCCCCGCCGACGGTCTGGACCGAGGATTCGAGCGCGCCCGCGCAGAATCTGGAAGGCCGAGGTCCGCCTCCCCCCCCCATCCCCCCTCGCACACCGCGCCTCCATCAGCGCCTGCCCAAAAGTGTGCAGGCCCGGAAATAGTGCCACCGGCGCTCGCATAGGCACCCGGCACGTGGCCGATTTTACCACATTCAGCGTCAGCGATCGACCCCGGGTCGCCGCGCGGCCCCCCGACGTCGACATAAATGCCGGGCGCGGGGGGCCGCGCGCCAACCTGGACGTGCCGCAATTCAAACGAGAGGACGCATTGCCCCGCGTGACATGCCCCCCTGGGCAGCCACTGCCTCTTCCTGAACTCGGGCAGACTGCTCCTCGGCGTATCTGGAGACGCACCAGACGGATGACTCTGCGGCCGCGAGGGATTCACGTCCCGCCTCGCGACGTCGGGCATTCCGTCATTGGCATGTGAGGCGTCGGGGCCGATGGCCCCGACACTCCTGGCGCCCATGGGGAGCCGCTGGGAAGTGTGTTCCGACAATGAGAACTGTTGGTCGGCCAATGGTTTTCGGGTACTGGACAGCTGGAGGAGGCAGGGCCTCCTCTCCTGTGCACCGCACCCTCGCCCAGGCATAAGGAACCTTTCGCCGGGCCGGCGCATGGGACAGGGCCCCATCTCAGCCCTTCCGACGCACCCCTCGTGATTGTGAAATCCGAATCATCCTCCGGATGTGAAGGCGAAAACGGAGCTTCGCGGGGATGCTTCTCATGCCCGTGCGCGCGAGGATCTTCACCAGGACTCGCACTGCGATGCACCTGTGGCTTAGGGAGCACAATCGGAGACCCTTTCCCTTGATCTCCTTGAAGGTACCGCTCGCCTTCCAAGCCACGTGACGTATGCATGCATGCGTGCCGGGACATTGCAGCGCCCGTGATCCGGCTGATGGCGTCCATCATCAAGACGGCATACCATATCGTCTTCTGCTGCTAACCAGCAAATTGCCAGATTATCCACAAATCTCGACAAGCGAATGCGCGTCGCACTCTGATTTCGTAGCTTCGGGCACTCATCTCTGTCGTGCCCACGTACGCCATAGCTAAGAAAGACCCAGTAAGTAGGGATGGAGACACTTGTAGAGAGAAGCTCGTGCGCGTGCCCGCGGGCGCGCCCCTGCTCCCAGCAAGGCGCAAATTGCGCCCCTGATCCTGAGGACTGTGGCTGCGGACGCCGCGGCGTCGGCAGCAACACAGTCGCCGCCGAAGCCAACGTCAAACTGACGATCCGCGGCGCTGGCATGTATTAGCGGCAGGGAGGCGGACGCGAACGACTAAGCCGAAGGCCTGAAACTTCGACGCGCGTAGCACTGCGCGGATGGGGGGCAGCTCTTTTTCAACATAGAGCCCTCGTTTAGGATTTCCTCAAAAATATCAACGCCTCGCGTAACCCCACCAGTCCATCCAGAAACGATGCACAGAGGATTTGCCTCGATCAGGAAGTGGGCAGCACACAGAGGAAGGGTCCCCCAGTGGAGGCCTCATGGAGCGTCTTGGGGGCCTCTTGGCGGTCCTGGACGCCTCTTAGAGCGTCTTGGGTGCCTCACAGAGCTTCTTGGGGCCTCTTGGGGGTCTCTTGGGAGCCTCTTGGAGGCCTCTTGGGTGCCTGTTGGGGCCTCCTGGGGCCTCCTGAGCGCCTCTTGGAGCCCTCTTGAAGCGCTCTTGGGAGCCTTGGGAGTGTTCTTGGAGCCCTCTCGGGCCATCTTGGAGTCATCTTGAAGCCTCGGATGGCCATCGGCAACGAAAAGGCTCAAAGAAGGGCTCCCTTAATTGGCCTCTCCCCTCGGGAGCCCCCAAAGTCGCCTTTTGTGCGTTCTTTGGGCGCTCTTGGAGCGCTCTTGGGCGCTCTTGGGGCCGTCTTGGTGCTTCCTTGGGCCCCTCTTAGGGCTCTCTTGGGCCATCTTGGAGCTATCTTAAGGCCTCGAATGGCCATCGGAAGCGAAAAGGCGAGAAAGCCAAAAACATTGACTTTCCCAAGGTTTTTGAAGGATTTGGACCTCTTGGGGGCATCCTTGGAGAGCTCTTTTGGCAACTTGGAGCCGTCTTGGGGCAGTCTTGAGGCGTTTTGGAACACCTTGGGAGCCATCTCGAGGCATCTTGCGCTATCTTGAGCCATCTTGGACGCCATCTTGGGCTCTCCGAGGCCCTCTTGGGGCCGTACCCTCTGACACCTCGCGACCGGCCCCGTCCGGGTCCAGGGGAGGGGGTGAGGGAAGGGGTCATGACTCCTACAAGGAGCAAGCTGTGTAGCTCACTCCCACCCGCCCTCCCAACACATAAGTAACACTGGGCCAAAGGACCAAAGGTTTGATCCCCCGAAGAGGCTCTGTCAAATACCAATGCAAAGGTCCCGACGGGACAATCGTAGTCCCACCAGCTACGGCTCGAGTGCGACAGGAGAGGCGGGCGCGGCCGCGGACGGCGGCCGCACGTGGGCGGCGGCTGGGACAAGCAGCCGGGCGGGGCGCTAGGGCATTCTTGAGAGCCTCCCCGATGCCCAGGGGAGCTTCTTGGAACCATCCTGGACGACCACCCGCGGCCAGACGGCAGGTGGGATCTGCCGGCACCCGGCCGTCCTTGTAAAATATCAATGCGGAGTGGTCGCAGGGCGGCCGCGCATGCTCTGAATGTGGAGTCAGAGTGTGTTTTGCAATGTTTTTGATGGGGATGGTGGGTGGGGGGGGGCATTGTTCCGGGTTGGCCGACGGCCGGATGGGAACAGTGATAACCCCTCCCCGAAAGGGAAGAAGGGAGGTGGAAGAGGAAACGCTCTAGACCACCAACGCCCAGAGGGCTGGTGGGATTCACGACGACAAGTGTAACATTGTGCAACAATTAGATGGAGGGAGCTCGAAAGGGGGATCTCACTAGACAGCCTGTGAAACTACATGACCACCATTCTTGATCACGCCAAGAAGGATGCAATGCAATTATTTTTTCAAAACGGGGCCCTCGCCAAAATGGCAAGCCCATATGGTGGTCTTTCAGGGGGGTAGCGCTTCTCAGAGTGAAAAGGAAAGCCTGTAGGGACACATGAAGAGGAGGCTTGGGACGGGAGGGTGCATTACAGCATCACTGATGCATCTTGGTTTTACTCTGGTCCTCCTCCTCCTCATTCTCTTTTTCTTTATGTATGTCTCACTTTATTTTGCAGTATGTTATCCTCACTCTCCCCTGCTTACTCGTTCACCCGAACTCTCTCCTCCTCCTCCTCCTCCTCCTCCTCCTCCTCCTCCTCCTCCTCCTCCTCCTTCTTTTTCTCCTCCCGCCACCCTCCATGGCAGAAAGGTGCAAGCACGACCTGACTCGATGCTGCTTCAAGGGGGAGAGTTACAGTGGGCACATACGACAAGACAGCTTGCTAGAATAAGTCTAAGGGCACATCAAGACTATCGGCAGATCCAAATTTCTCGTGGGGCACCGCGTGATAGGCACGTTTCTTATTTGTTGTGCCTACTGTGTGCTCGGGGAGCAGGGGATCCCACAGCACCGCTCAACGACGTGCTTCTTTCAAACATCAGGGTAGGCCGTTTGTTCTTCTAAGGGGAATGCGCGCCCAAAATTTATCTGCTCTGCCACCGCCGCCCCTTGGCTTCCCCAACGGCTGGGATCACACGCAATCCACCAGCATGGCTGGACTTCCGGACAGGCGGTGGCTTGCCGATTGCGTCTTCGGCATCGTGGAGTGCGGGCGACTGATGTTCCCCAGGTCACCCAACTTCGCGCACTGCGACCCGCGATACGCGACGCCCCCTCGCTCGGGGAAAGGCAGCCGCTCTGGCCCAGACCGCGACGTGCGAGTTGCATCATCTTCGCACCCCCGCGGGTGACCGCAGAGAAATCCCAACCCGCCCTGGACCTGCCGCTGTTGCTTCACGCGGCAGCGCCTGCGCGGACTCCTCCGATGTCGGGTCTTAATTCGTGTCTCCAGCGGCCCTTCGGAACGATCTGGGCACCCCCGGATGGCTCTCGGCGAGGCGCAGCTGGTGGAACGCATCTCGAGGCAGGAAATCCTCCAGGAACCAACGAAAACGTCAGAAAAAATCAAAAGCTTCCAATCGATGTGGCCCTCCCCCGGTCAAAAAGGGCCTCCTTGGCGAGGCCGCAGGGACCGGCCATGCCCTCGAGGGCCATCAGCTCCTCCCGAGAAGGGTCGCCGCAGCGTGTAGGACGAGACACGTGCGCGACTACCTGCGACAGGAGGGCACGCGGGATGCGAGGCACAGTAGCAGCCTCAACGGGTCGTGGTGGGCCCACTCCAGCCCCCTCCTCCCCCACATCCCCCCCCCAATGATCCTCCTCCTCATCCTCTTCCTCCTCCTCCTCCTCCCTCCCTCCCTCCCTCCCTCCCTCAATCGTTATCCTCCCATCCCCCTCCCCCCGCCATCCTCATCCTCATCCTTATCCTCCTCATCCCCCCCATCCTCCTCCTCCTCCTCCTCCTCCTCCGCCTCCTGCTCCTCCTCCTCCTCCTCCTCCTCCTCCTCCTCCTCCTCCTCCTCCTCCTCCTCCTTATCCTCCTCCATCTCCTCCTCCTCCTCCTCCTCCTCCTCCTCCTCCTCCTCCTTCTCCTCCGCCTCCTCCTCCTGTATCTCTTCCTCAAGCATGACGCCCCGCCACTACAAATCTGCCGCTTCGGGCAGAAATGCCACAGCGCGATCAGGACCGAGTTCAGGGCACGCTGGCTGAAACGGATCTCCTGCCCGCCGCACGGCAAGGGGAAGGAGCATGAGGAGGCAGAGGGATGTGTTCAGAGGTTTTAGCGGTGGCTCTTGAGTATTCCAGGTTGCTTCAAGGGCTCTGGGAAGTGGGTCCAGGGAGGATGTGGCGAATCCCGCAAGGGATTCTGGGGCATTTGGGGGGCCTCTTCCGGGACGCTGGGGGGGAGGGTTCTGGTGGCCACTGGGCAATTTCTGGAGGGTGATGATGTGGACGGGCAGCAGCAGCATGAGAAGGATGAGGAGTCCAACAACGACGAGGACAACGACGCCCACAACCATCACGACGAGGACGAGGATGAGGACGAGGACGAGGACGAGGACGAGGACGAGGACGAGGACGAGGACGGGGAGGAGCATGAGGAGGAGCAGAAGCATAAGCCAGAGCAGGACTAGCAGGACCAGGAGCAGAAAGCAGGGACAGAAAAGCATGAGCAGGAGCGAGTGTAGGATCAGGAGCAGGAGAGAAGGACGACGAGCAGCAGCAGTGGCAGCATCAGGAGCAGGAGGATGCGCCTGATAAGATCCAGTCCTGAGTCGGGCGCCGTCCAAACGACGAACGATTAAGTGTGCACATGTGCGAAGGCGCCCAATCCTTTTCCGGAGGCACTTTCAAAGTCCTCCTCCCCCTCCTTGGCCCGCCAGATCGCGCCGCCTCCCCTCCCACGCAGAACGGGGGAGCGCTGACATGAGACGAGGACGAGCGAACGAGCGCGGGGCGATGAAGAGACGACGACACAACGCCACATGAGACGAGGACGAGCGAACGAGCGCAGGGCGACAGAGGACGAGGACGACGACAAACAGCGCCAGGAAGAGACCAGATGGACAAGCACTGGGAGGGGCCAAACGTCCCCCGCAGGGCGGCGTACCCTCCGCGAGGCGGCGCAGGGGGCCACGGCTCCGGCCACAGGACGGGCCAAGACCTCGCTCCCGCGCGCCCTGCGGTGAGGGCCCCTCTCCAGGGGATGCCTCCTCTTGGGCACGCGGGGCCTTCCCTGGAGAGCCAAGCCGAGTGAGAAGGACCGCGCAGGAGAGGAGGGGAGGGCGGCCGGAGCCGACGCAGGCCAGTCGGCGTCGCCCCGCGCCGAGCACCCATGTTGCTGCCTCGTGCCCGCTGCGGCTCGAGCTGCTGGAGAGCCACGCCGCTCGGAGTGCGGCAGAAGCTTCGGCAGCTCGCGCCGGAGCCTCGAGGGCGGAGGCGCGCTCGTGGTGACCGCCCAAACCACGAGGGACTGCAAGATCGGAGAGAGAGAGAGAGATAGGAAAAAAAAAAGCGGACGAAGCGCAGAGAGATGTGTCCGCGCGTTCTCGGGGCCGTGCCCAAATGCCACTCCTGCTGCGTCGCGGTGATCGCGGGACGGGGCTCTCGCGGGGCTCTCAAAAGGGAGAGCTTGTGAGGAAAAACGGGCAAACCTTCTGGAGGTTTCAGGCAGGGCTCAAGAGAAGGCAAGAGAGCTTCTGAGAGGCGGGGTGCCTCCTTAAAGGCCACCGCCCTGCGCCATGGGACCTTCTGCGCCCCGCCAGAGGCACATCTGGCCGATTCCGGCAACCCTGAACCCAAACATGCTTTCATTAGGGGGCAAACAAACCTACCTCGCTTTTGACCACCCTCGCTTCCAAGAGATACCAAGCGATGCCAAACTACGGCATGCACTGGTCAGGCCGCTCGACGAGGAGGCGTATGGTATGACTTGGTTTTGCCTGGAAGCGAAAGCGGGGTAGGTAATTCACGCTTTGATTCATCGGCGCATGTTTTGCTTCCGCTGGCTTCCGCCGGTTTTCCGCCGGCTTTCCGCCGGCGGAACCGCCCTACCTGCAAGGAGGAAAGACTGGTCTACTCTGTAAGAACGGTTTTTTGAAGGCAGATCTGCCTTCAAAAAACAATTTTCTGAAGGCAGATCTGCCTTAAAAAAAACGTTCTTACAGAGTAGACCAGGCTTTACTTCCGTCGCCCTCCGCCGCCCCTCCGCCGCGGAGGAGACACGATCCTCGATCCTCGAGGCCGAGGCCCCTCTGGAAATCCGACGGAAGCCCAGGCCCCACCTCCCTCGGCCGGCCCGTGCGCGGGCCCTCCTGACCGGTCTCGAGGGCAATGTGCCTCTCGCTCTGCAGCCTGGGCGGGAGAGATGCCACCGCCGCCATCAAGAGAGGGCCCGCGCCCCTCGGCGGCAGCCGAGGAGCCCCCCGTCCTCATCCTCTGCCCCCGCCCGCCCCCCCCTCCTCCCCCCGTCACCCCCCTCTTACCAGCCTGGAACATCTCCCTATCCCTATGCTGGGCATCTCCTCATCAAGATGCCAATCTTAGGGATTCCCTTATTTTTTGAGGGCGAATCCCTGAGATTGTCATCGCCTTTTGGCGTGTCAATCTTAGGGATAGGGATACGTTCGAGGCTGGTAACCCTCCTCTGCATCTCCCTCATCTTCAGCCCCCTCCTCCCCCAACACACACACACACACTTGTTTTCGGTCGTCGCGGATGGGCGCAGCGCCTCGCCGTCTACACCGCGCGCGGAGAACCCCGCAGGCGCCCAGCAGTCCGAGGGGAACAGGAGAGGAGCACGCGGCAGCGGGCCGCTGGCCAGCAGCAGCGGAGAAGCGGGGGGCCACTCTAAGCCGGCGGCAGCGAGACACGGGGCAGGGCCAGGCACGATTGGGCGTGCGAGAAGGCGGCGGCGAGGCGCGGAGCGACCGGGCTGGGCGAGCAGCGGCCAGGCCAGCCCGAGTCAGGACGACAGGCGGGCCGGCAGGGCAAGGGGAAGGGGGGGCCAGGCAGGCAGAGGGAGAAGCGAAGGAGGAGGAGCGACTCCGGGCAGCCGAGGGAGGAGACGCACGGAGGCAAGGGCACGGGCCGACCGACGGGGGAGGGGAAGCCGAGGGGAAGGCGGGAGACACCACGCTCACAAGGGAAGGGCAAGGCACGGAGAGGGAGAGGAGTCTTTTTTGACAGGCGCCCTGAACCCGAGCCAGCTCGGGTTGAGTTGCGAAAAAACTCGGACTAGTTTACCCGCCTGGTGCAGGGTCAGTCCGAGCTGTCTGCAAGGGGTTGCTGGTCTGGGGCGTGCTCACCCTCCTCCCGAGAGGGAGAGGAGCCGAGGATCCCACAGAGGAAGGAGGCGAGAGGGAAGAGAAGCAGGCACAGTGCAAAGGCGGGGGTAGAAACGAACGGCCACAGGGCGGCCGAGGGCCTGCCGGGCGGGCAGGTCGCGCGCACGCCGTGCCTCCGGGGGGGGGGGGGCGGCGGCGCGGAGCGGAAGGGACGACGACGACGACAAGGGACGAGGAGGACAGAGAGGGGCCGGCACACAGCAGCGCCAGGCCGGCTGCGGGGCGCTCGGATTTACCCCCTGCGCGGGGACAGAGAAAGTGCGGATGGCCCCCCCGCGCGCGGTGCGGCTTACCCCCCGCCGAGGGGCCAGTGAAAGAGGGAACGTGCGGGTGACCCCCCGCACGGGAAGCGGACAGCCCCCGCCGAGGGGACAGGAGAACTGGCATTTCATCGCCGTGCCGTGTTCGCATGAGAAGGATGGGAGAGATGCCTCGGCCAAAGGAGGGTGGCGCTCAGGACCGCGCGAGGATCCGCCGTTTCCGCTACCTCCCAGGGCGACCGACGACCTCGGAGCTGGCACTGCTCGGAACCCCACCTCCATCACGGTAGTGCGCACCCAGGCTGGGGGGCGGCCCGTAGGCGGCAGCGCGGAAACCCCCTCCCGCCCCCCCCCCCCCTACCAAAATGGGGCCCGGAAGCGGGCACGCGGGAGCCCCGTCTTACCCCGGCAGTTGCCGCGAAAAGAGAATGGATAGCGAGCCGAAACCAGTCGAGAGTGAGTGGACACAGGCAACTACCAGTCGGAATATCCGACCGACTGCACGTCATGACAGCAGTGAGGCGGATGAAGAAGGACGCGTGAGGGAGCACAGGAACTATAAGGCACACGCACACACGCACACGCACATACACGTACACACATATTCACACACACACACACACACACACACACACACACACACGCACGCACGCACGCACGCACGCACGCACGCACGCACACACACACACACACACACACACACACACACACACACACACGCACACACACACACACACGCACACACACACACACAGGCACGCACGCGATCATTCCGAACGAAGGGACACACATGCACCATGCACACTGCAAACGTGCCATGACATGGACGCTGTGCACACCAGCAGGCAGATCGGGAAAACAAGCACGTCGACCTGCAATCGGCAAACTCATGTAATGTAGCGAAGCAGGAGCAGCTCTCAACGCAGGAGAGCAGAACGCACGTTGCAGCTGACCGCCTGCGGCACGAAGCAGGGCGGAAAGGGCATCGCCCCGTCCCCACCCCAAGGAGAAGGGGAACCGCGGGAGGAGGAGACGAGGAGGGGAAGGAGGAGACGAAACAGGGACAGCGCGCTCGACGAGCGCCCTCGGACCCCCCCCGGCCTCGCATCGCCCAGCCGGCCTGGACGGACCCAGCCTGGGTCCTCCACGGCCTCGCATCGTCCGGCCGGCCCGGGCGGACGCACAACTCGACGCCAGGATTCGGAGGAGGGAGGCGGAAGGGATGAACAAGGAGACGGACGAAGAACGGAAGCGGACGAGCGCTCGTCACATCATGACACGTTGAGTATCGTTTAGCCGATCCCCGTCCCCAGCAGCGTGGCCTGAGCCCCACTGACCGATTTGCCCCCTGGATGGGGATATTAGGTCGTCCCCTTCGGGTTTCGAGGGGTGTATCCCCAACTGGGGGGGTAATTTGGGGGTCGATGGGGATGGGGATGGGGGTCGGTCAAACGATACTGACACGTGCCAAGCGAGGCGGGCAGGCTGCGCGCATCACTAAGCCGCGAATCCGGGAGGGCGCCGTCGGGCTGCGGCCGACGGTCCAGGATTCGGAAGTCTGACCCGCACGGACAGTCAGGTCGGGCATGTCCCCCTACAGGCGGGTTTTGGGCGGAAGTTTTAAAATAATATGTTTTTCTTGTTGTTTACACACAAAAAACAAAAACAAACAAACAAACAAACTAAAAACAACAAATACTACAAAAATCGTCCCCAACATGTGTTTTACTATTTGCGAATATTCCTCCTGTAGAGGGACACGCCGCGGGCGGCAGCGGGGGGCGCAGCTGGTCTCCGCGGGAGGCACGCGTGCCGCCCGGGCGTCGGGGGCCCCGCCGTCGCAGAGCGGGCTCGCCCCCGCCGGAGGGGGGGGGGAAGAGATGCGCCCCTCGATGGGGAGGGCCGCTGGTGCGCGCGCCGCCGGGGCGCTCGCCGACGCGGCGCGGAGGCGCGCGGCCGGGCGTGGGCCATTGGCTACAGTCGGGGCGTTGACCTAAGGAACCCTGAATAAGGAACGAGGCCCCTATTTTCCATAAGTTGAACTTCGACTTCACATCGCACACCTAAGGAAAACCTATGGCAACCTGCGAAACAATCAAGGAAAACGGAGCCCCTCCCCAACGAAAAGGATTCCTTCTTCAGGGCCCCGACTGTATGGCAGCCGGGGCGCTTGAGGATCAGGCGCAGACCCTCGGTCCCCGCGCGCGGAGGAAGGGGGCTGCGGGTCGGGGGCCGAGGGGAAGGGCCCCGACTCCGATCCGGGCGGCACTGCGACGGCCGAGAGGAGAGTAGCGGCGCGGAGAGGCGCATCGCAGTCATCGGCGCGACGGAGACTTGGAGGTCGCTGGGGGGCAGCGCTGCCTCCGGGGCCAGATCACAGTGCGCTGGCCAGGCGGGCTAGATCTGCCAGCGGCATGCCTTCCGACCGCTACTCTCCACACACACTGATCCTACGACGCCGGCTGCACGCCAAGAGCAACGCTCCCAGGCGCGCGGGCGCGCCCACTGGCACCCCAGCCGAGCCGAGCCCAGCACCGCGAGAACCGGGCGGCCTCCCCGACCGAGGAGCCGCGATCCACACACAGGAGCACGAACAGCAACGCCAGGGGCAGATGAGCACACCTCTGCGCGGCACTGGCCGCGGGTCACAGGGCGGCACGGGGCCCTGCGACCACGGGCGGCAGGGTTCCCGCAGGACACGGGCCGGGGGCAGCAGACGCCGCGGGCCGCGCGCGGCCGCCATTTGTTGGCGTCTTCCTGGAGACGGCCTGCTCGTCCGTCAAAAAGGGGGGGGGCCACGGGCCACGGCGGCCCGCGGGCCGCGGCGGGGTTGGCGGCGCAGCCCGCGGCGCCCCGACCGCGCTGCTCTCGGGGGCCCCGCCCCCCGTGACCTCCTCGCTCGAAAAAGGCGGCCCCGGCGTCGCGGGCGCGCCGGAATCCACTCCTGATCCCCGCCACTCCCAGCCCCTCTCGCGCGCGACGAGATCGCGTCTCCTGACGCCACTACTTTACGAACGCGGACATGTCAGACCGCTCTTGGCGCCTTTGCTTGATGAGCGTGGGCCCGTCAAACCGCTCTCGGCGGAAAAGAAGTCCGCTTTTGATGCCTCTGCATGACGAGCACGGGCCAGTCAACTGCGGAGGGGGGGCGCTCGCGACGCGCCTGCATGGCGAACGCGGATCCGCCAAGCCGTTCTTGACGGGATCACTCAACAAGAAATCCCCTCGGAACGCTTCTACCGAGCGAACATGGATCCGTCAACTTGGCCCAAGTGCGCGCGCGCGCCAGAAACGGCGCCGAACGCGACGCGCGCGCTTCGCCGACGGCGCACAGCGCGACGCGCGCACGCGCCATGAACATTGCACGCGTGCCCGCGCGAGGGCCAACGACGCGACGCCGCCGAGGGTCGCGACGCACGCTGGGCACCCCGACAGAGGCCCACTGCGCGCTCGCGCGCAGCGTGGGCCACCCTCGGCCCCGCATGCAAGGCGCCGCGAGGTCCCCGCGGCAAACGCGCGGCTTGGCCCCGACATGCCGCCGCAGGGGCTCACTCCAACGCGCGCCAGAGAAGTGCGCGCGGTTTGGCCCCAACACGTCGCGTTCAGATCACAAGGGCGCGCATCGATAACGGCCGGGCCGAATGCCGAGAAACGCCAGATTCGCCGAGCAAAACCGCGAACAGCGTTCGAGGGGAGATCGGTCTAGACGGGCGCGGCGCCGTTGCAATGGCAGTAAAACGTTGGTTTTGACGGTCGATCGATTTAAACATTACCCTTGACTGGGAATTGGGCTGTCTAGGTTTGCGCTTTACCCTGTGAGCATTACACCCTCCTCCGTCGCCCCATGCACAGGGATCGCCTTCGCTGCCCTTCAGCCAGCTTCAAGAGGAGACTGACGTCACTGGTCCAAGGGTGCGCGGCGCCCGACTGGACGGCCCGCTCGCATTGTGGGCGGGGCAGCCCCGTGGTCGCCGCCGTCGCGGCGGTAGCAGAGGCAGTCCTGGGGGCCAGCCATGGGGCACAGAATACCACGCCCTTTGGGGGGAAGTCGCCCAAGGCCACCCGCAACGGCCCGTAACAATAGTCACAAGGAAAGCTCCAACGTCTGCTGGAGCCGCTAGGAGCCGGACCCGTTTGTCGAGCGGAAAGTTGGAGGCGTCGCAGCCAGGGCAGGCCGGCCAGGTGTGGATCCCGCAGTCGACGCAAGGGCGCCCAGCGGCAACGCGGTCCTGATTCAGTCGCGACAGGGAACACTGGCCAAAAGAGCTGCGTTCTCGCGGCGGCTGGTCGCCCGCTGCGTCGCCCCCCCACCCCCTTCAGGTTCGCCTCCCCCTCTCCCCCCTTCCGCGCGAACCCGCGCGCCCTTGTCGTCGCGCGCGCCGCCGCCCTTCTGGCGCAAGTTCCGCTCCTCCCCCTCCTCCTCCTCCTCTCCTCCTCCTCCTCCTCCTCCTCCTCCTCCCTCCTCCTCCTCTCCTCGCCTCCTCCCTCCTCCTCCGCCCGCCTCCTCCTCCTCCTCCTCCTCCTCCTCCTCCTCCTCCTCCTCCTCCTCCTCCTCCTCCTCCTCCGCCTCTCCTCCTCCTCCTCCTCCTCCTCCTCCTCCTCCTCCTCCTCCTCCTCCTCCTCCTCCTCCTCGCGGCGCCCCCCCCGGGCCGCGCGCGCGTCGCCTGTTCCCCCGTGGAGGTCCTTTCCCCCTCCATCCTCACAGGCGCAGGTCAACGTCGGCTTCCCCTTCGAGCTCCACGCGGACGGATTCGGCACCTACCTCCCTCGTCGTTTTGCCTCGGCTCGAGTTTATCCTCCTGGCCATCGCTTGAACGGCGCGCGCGCGCGCGCGGTCGCGCCTGTTCCTCGCGGCATTACGCCAGCTGCGCGGGCCCCGGCGGGCTGCGCGCCGCGCGTACATGTCGGCGCGAGGCCCGGCGGGCCTCGCGCCTGCGTGCAGTCATCTGGCGCAAGCCCCGGTGGGCTCTGCTCCAGCGGCACGCGCCACGGTGGGCCCTGCGCCAAGTATGACCTGACGAAAGCCCCAGCGGGCGCAGCGCCAGCGGCGAGGGCCCTGGTGGGCCCTGCTCCAATACAAATGCACCGAAGGTGGATGCGTCCGTTTTCTAGCCCCACGCGAGAAGGATCCACTTCGACAGCGTATAAACAGCATGTTGCAACATAAAGTGGAGCCAGTGTTATGCTGTTCCAGAAGTGCTCAAAAGAAGAAACTAGGTATGTTAAGAAATCAAGTTGGGCACATTGTATGTTACGTATTCAGAGTGAGACATCACGTGTTAAGCACCCAACGTTGATTCAACTTACGCAAAATATTATAAGTGGACAGCTTGTTTGCCAAGTTTTCCAATATGGTACATGCGCATTGCAACAACAACTATTATATACACGCGTTCCAATTCTTCTTCCTTGTACACAACTATTCCCTGTCGCACCCCGAGGCTGGTTGAAAGGGCGGACGGTGCGCTTCGCCTGAGAAATACTCACCACTTGTGGCGTAAAGCGTAAACATTGGCAACAGCTTCACGGATTCAAGTCGGGTCGTTTTCAAAATGTAATTCTCGCTTTAGCGCCGCGCACATTCGTTTAAAACTGTGCAAGGTCTTCACGGATTGAGGGCGGGTGGTTTTCATAATGTAGTTCTCGCCTTTAGCGCCGCGCGCACCTGTTTTAACAATTTGCAGGAACTTCACGGAGTTAGGACCGGTTCCGTTTTAAAATGTGCTTCTCGCTTTAACGCCACGCGCATTCGCTTAACGAAATTGCAAGAATTCCGCGGATTGAAAAGAAAAGGCTTGTTTTCAATAGTTTGCCTTCGCCTTTGCGCCGCGCACATTCGTTTAAAAAGAACCGCACGAACTTCACGGATTTAGGGCGGCTCCTTTTCAAAATGTGACTGTCGCCATAGCGCCGCGCACACTCGTTTTAAACAGTTGCAGGAATTCCACGGGGTCCCATGGTCAACGTGCCTGCCATTGTGTTTTGTAAGAACTCACATTTGTGAGGGCGCAACTGTTACGTTGATTCGCGATGTTGAAATCACTCCTGGCACACTCTTGTGGAACCGATCGTACAGAAACAGACAACGACAACAGCAGCCAAGGTTTCAAAGGAAACCACACCTTCAAAATTACAACACGCATCGATCAAACCAGTTGCCCGCCACGAATGAAATGTTGACGACGGGCGGAACTGAGACACTACACCGCAAGGTAAAATTCAACAAAAAGCGAAATTCAGCCAACACTTCGTCGTGTGTGAAACGCTGACGTCGTCTTCGTCGTCGTTGTCGCCGTCACCTGTCCTCAGTTCCGCCTCTTGGGCCATCTTGGGGCGATCTCGGGGGCCTCTCTGGCCGTCTTGAACGCTGATAAAACCAAAACGCGAAGATGCTAATACATGCGGCTTTGGGGGCCGTCTTGGGGGTTCACTTGGAGCCGTCTTGGGGCGCCTGTTGCCATTTGGAAACCATCTTGGGCCGCCTTGCACTCCCTCAAAACTTCTCTGGAAACTTCGGGGGTCCCAGAAGGACTCCGCGGAAACTCCGGGGAAGCTCATGGGAGGCCCCGGGAGGGAAGAGGCCCTTAGGTGACTCTGGGCGACGCTGGTGTGCTGCAGCCCCATTCCACGTTGCTAAAAAGCTGTTGCGGGCGCAGTTGACGTGTCCCACTCGGCATGCACCGCGACAAAGTATATTCGTTGTCGACGCGGTGGACGTGTCCCACTCGGCGTGCAACAATGAAAAATACATCTGGCCGCAGGTCTAAAAACGATTCCGCACGATCCCACTACAGCTGGCTACCCTTTTCTTCATTTCCAAAGGGGCGCCTCGAGAAAATAACGTACGCACGCACAGCAGAAGCGCGTGTCCACCGGGGGGGAGGTGGGGGGGCGGGCCCCAGTGCTGAATCCACCCGCTTAAAGCAGCCGCCAAAAGCAGCCAAGATCTGGTCCCTGGGTAGAACCCCCCCCCTTTGAGAGAGGAGGGGTCTTCTGGTTCGGACCCCCCCCTTAGAGTAGGGGGGGGGGGCACTATCGACCAGGGGGGGGGGCCTCCCTGACCCCCCCCCCTTTGAATTTCAGGGCCACCCCCACGTCCGAACCACCCCAAACCTTGCAGGCGTCCACAGAAACACAACGCGCTCTTTCTAACATGAAAATCGACGCTGTTGATGTCACTTGTGGGCCATCCTGTGACTGCCCTGGCCCTGGGTGCCCTCTTGGGGCCTTCTTGTGGCCTTCCTGCTATCCTGGCAAGCTACCAGCCCAGAGCGACCTCGTTCCCTCCTCCTCCTCCTCCTCCTCCTCCTCCTCCTGCTCCTCCTCCTCCTCCTCCTCCTCCTCCTCCTCCTCCTCCTCCTCCTCCTCCTCCTCGTCCATTGATTTTCCTTATACGCCGACAACGACGGCGCCGCCCCTGGAGGCGGCGACGACGACCCCCCGAGCACGCGGCCCAGAGTGGTCGTCGTCCCAGTTGGCGGCCGTGCGGAGCAGCCGGCCGAGCTGGGGCCCGCCTCCTGGGAGGGGGGGAGGAGGCTGAGGGTGCGGACATAGAGGCGAGGCTCGAGGAGGGAGGCTCGTCTCAGAAGCTCCTCGCGCCCTGGGGCCCTCAGGAAGCCGCTCATCGCCACGGCCGAATCCACCTCGAATTCCTGGCCCGAGCACACACGAGGACGGGCCCACGGGGAGGGAAAGAAGCCAGACCTTCAGGCGGCACGAAGAGATCGCGGCGGCAGGCTCGCCCTCCGCGCCGGCCTCTTCTCTGGGGGGTCATTGCCAGGCCACGGGGCAGTCGATGGACGGCCTGGGATGGAGCGCTGGCCACGGGGAGTGGGATCAAGAGCTCCAGGGGCTCACGCCTCGAGCGAACCATCAAGTCGGAGAGCTGGGTGATCAGGTGAGGGCAGGGGGGATGGCCGGATAGCAGCTGCCGAGAGGCCTCTGCGGAGCCAGTCGGCGGATGACTGCGAGGCCACACTCGAGAGCCATCCGGCCGGATGGAGCTGGGCGAAGCCGCGTCAGGCCAGACTGGGCAGGCCCAGGCCGGACGCGCAAGGCAATGCCAGGGCCGCTGGCTGGAACGATTCAGCCTCCCAGGAGCTTCAGGAACAGCTACAACATTATGAATTCAAATGTGCTGTTGCGTCTACATGTTACAATTGAGACTCAAACTTATTCCAGAAAACCGAAGGGGGCGGCTCGGAAGCGGCGGGGAGGAACGAGGGAAAGGCCGGCGAGGGAAGGGCAAGGGCCGAGCTGGAGAACGCAGCCCTGCAGCCACCGACCGGCTGCGTGCACGGCCGCCTCATGAGCCTGGGGATGCCCCAGGCCTCTATAGGCGGCGAGCCAGGTGGGGAAGTGAGAAGGGGCGGGCCTTCGCAGAAGGTTCGGAAGTCCCCCAGGCTGCTGAGAAGTTTTCTAAGCCTTCCCCGAAGGCACAGAAAACTTCTCAGAAGGCGCGAGGGCTTCTGAGAGGTCCCGCCGCCTTCTGCGAAGGCCTTCTCCTTCACAGTTCCCCCCCCTCGCTCACCCCCAGCCTCCAGCCTGGGAGCAGCTCGCAGGAACCGCCTGCGAAAATTCCGTGCGCCGGCCTGCGGGCAGGGTTCTGGCTTCGCCCCTGGCGCTCTGCTGGGACCTTTCGGCGCTGCCGGATCGAAGTAGCGAGCGGCACAGGAGCCAAATCGCTGACCCCTGAGTGCCAAGATGGGCAACTCGAGGCCGTGGGTAACCATCCCCACTCACGCTCAGGTTGATACTATCCCTTCACCTTCTGGAGCGGGAGATGCCACTTTCCCTCCGGAACTCCCGTAGCACTGGGAGAGGGACGACGACTTCGACGGAAGAAATGGGAAGGTTGGATGAGGGCGCAGGATATGCGGGCGGAGGAAGGACAAGGAGGAGGGAGAGAATGAGGGAGGAAACGGAGAGGAGGAGATGAGAGGGAAGAACGATGCTAAATGTGTATATAAACATATGTAAATAAACATACATATAACACAACACCAACACCTGCATACATACAAACTGAGGTTCGCGCGGAGCTCAGGAAGTTGATGCTTATGCCGTTATCCTCTTCAAGAAGAGGAAGAGGACGGAAGGAGAAGGGATGAGGGAGCCAGACGTAGGATTAAGTCGGGCGTGTCCCCCTACAGGGGATTTTCGACGAAACATAAAAAATATCAAAAAAATACTCCAAATGGTCAAAAATACTTTAAAATTAGCCTGACAAAGGACCCAACCATGTCCAGTTGCGAGTACCGCATTGTGGGTACCCGTTTCGGTGGAGCTCCTATGGGGCCACGAAACTTGTGAGGGGTGCGCCGAAATCGGTGGCGCGGACGCATGTGGACACCGCCACTGGGGCCTTCGGTGGAGCTCCCTATGGGGCCACGAAACGCTGCCCTGGGCAAGGGAGACGCATGCGAACTGCGCCATTGGGGCCTTCGCTGGAGCTCCTTATGGGGCCACGAGGCGCTGTCATGGGTGGGGGAGACGCATGCGAACTGCGCCTCTGGCGCCTTCGGTGGAGCTCCCTATGGGGCCACGAAACGCTGTCCTGGGTGGGAGAGACGCATGCGAACACCCCGATTGGGGCCTTCGGTGGAGCTCCCTATGGGGCCACGAAGCGCTGTCCTGAGCAGGGGAACCGCATGCGGCCCACCCCCACTGGGGCCTTCGGTGGAGCTCCCTATGGGGCCACGAAACGCTGCCCTGGGTGGGGGAACCGCATGCGCCCACCCCCACTGGGGCCTTCGGTGGAGCTCCCTATGGGGCCACGAAGCGCTGACCTGGGTGGGGGAACCGCATGCGCCCACCACCACTGGGACCTTCGGTGGAGCTCCCTATGGGGCCACAAAACGCTGCCCTGGGTGGGGGAACCGCATGCGCCCACCCCCACTGGGGCCTTCGGTGGAGCTCCCTATGGGGCCACGAAACGCTGCCCTGGGTGGGGGAACCGCATGCGCCCACCCCCACTGGGGCCTTCGGTGGAGCTCCCTATGGGGCCACGAAACGCTGCCCTGGGTGGGGGAACCGCATGCGCCCACCCCCACCGGTGGAGCTCCCTATGGGGCCACGAAACGCTGCCCTGGGTGGGGGAACCGCATGCGCCCACCCCCACTGGGGCCTTCGGTGGAGCTCCCTATGGGGCCACGGAACGCTGCCCTGGGTGGGGGAACCGCATGCGGCCCACCCCCACTGGGACCTTCGGTGGAGCTCCCTATGGGGCCACGAAACGCTGCCCTGGGTGGGGGAACCGCATGCGGCCCACCCCCACTTGTGAATTGCACTCCGTACAATGTGTTTTCAGAGGTGTTTCTGACTAATATGTTAGAGCAAGCACTCTCCCCCCCAGCAGCGTGGCAGTATGTATAAAGCAGGCATGATAGAAAGGAGCAAGCACTGTTGCCGTTTGAGCTCGAGAGGCCTCTCGACTGACCAGAAACGCTATCATCACCCTCCCTGCACGCAGAGCGATTGTGGACGAGGGTGTTCGAGGAGAAGTTGGCAGGCTTCGGACTTCGATTCGACCACGATTGAAGACTTAGAGTGCTTCGACCGATTCACATTGGTAGCTGGAGCGATCTGTTCACGGACCACAGTTATCACCCATGGGACCGCCTGGCGGGGGACGCGGCGCAGCAGCAGCAGCAGCAGGACGAGATGACGCACAGCCGCCCGCGACGAGTTTCATCGGCAGAGCCCCAGAGTTCGACGGCTCGATCGATGGCTACAGGACTTTCAGGAAGAAGGTGGAGATCTTCGCGGCGAGGGCTCGCGGACGCGAGCAGGAGAAAGGAGTAGGGCTCGAGATAATGCAAGGCCTGTGTGGCCGAGCGTGGGAGGTGGTCGAGGATATCGAAATCGGCGAAATCGAGAAGGAGAAAGGCTGACAGACCATCATCCAGGCGCTCGACAGGGCATACAAGTATGATCAGATTACGGAACTCCCGTCGGACTTCGAGAATTTCTTCTTCAAGGCAGCCCGCAAGCCCAGGGAGACTCTGATTGACTACTTGACGAGGTTTCGGACATCAGAGCGGAAAGTGCGAGCACACGACGTGATATTACCCGACAAAGTGCTCGGCTGGTTTCTACTACGGAGGGCCGGGCTCGACAAAGAGGGCAAGCAGCTCATCATGAACCAGGTCGGCGACAACCTCTCACTGGACAAGGTCGAGGGCGAGCTGAAGAAGACGTTCGGGCTAGACTCGATGCCAAGCTCTCGAGCCAGTGCTGGAGCGGGCGCCTACCACCTGGACGATTACGAGGAGTTCGACGAGCAGGATGACGTCTACTACGGAGGCGACGACGAGGAGCACTACTACGATGATTACGGCGAGGACCACCAAGAGATGGGCCCGAGCTTCGATTCGGAAGCGGCCTACTACAGCGAGACCCTGACGAACAACCCCCCCATGCCAGACCAGGCGTACGACGTAGATCAATACGATGAGATAATGGCAGCATACACCGACGCGAGACAGAAGATGAACGACATGAGGCTGGCCAGAGGTTTTTACCCAGTCGTAGCTATGGTGCCGCCACCGACGAGGAGTGCTGGAGCTATCATACCCTCACGGGCCCCTGCCGCTGGCAGAGGTCGAGGTGCGGCGCGAGGCGCGTCCCGAGGCCGGGCTACAGGGAGAGGTGCGACGGCTTCGAAGGGACGTGGCAAGAACCACTTTGCAGGCAGCTACGGAAAGGGCGCAGCAGGCCGTGGACCACCTCGCCCACCACCGAGAGCGACAGAAGAGACGATATGCCTACGATGCGGTGCTCGAGGTCACTTCGCCAAGGACTGCCCCCACGCGAGCAGGAAGAGGCAGAACGTCGGCGACGATTCCGCAGAGGCGCAGATGGTCACGGACGAGGCGGAGGACGTGTACAACTCTACCGAGCTCAACCCGTCGGAGGCGATACACGATAGTGGGGCGACCAGCGTTATTGTGGGACACGAGACGCTCAGAGGATATTGCAAGCAGCTGGCCGCCAAAGGATTTCCAGTCAGCAAGATGAAATTTTTCCCGTGTTCCAAGAACTTCGGGTACGGCAACGACTCGACCGGTGAGGCGACGGCGTGTGCAGTTGTTCCGTCTTTCCCTGGAGGCAAGTTTGTGGAGATTCTCACGTATGTGATTCCTGGCCACACCCCATTTCTGTTTGCCAGGCCAGTGATGGAGGAGCTCGGGATGGTCGTGGATTTCAAGAATAAGAGGGCATGCTGGGACGGTGATGGCAAGTGGTTTCAGCTACGCCAGCAGCCCAGTCGCGGCCACTTCATCATCGACATGCTGGAGAGTTTCAGTACGTGTATGAAGGATCGCGCCGACCAGACCCTACTGCCTCACAACATGTTGGACCACGTGCGCGCGCAGCAGCCGATCAGCCCCTACACGTTTCTTGGAGACGAGGTGCTGGCGTACGAGGAGTCCGTGGACTTCATCGGCACGATGGTCGAGATAGACAACAAGGTCGACGCGGCAGAGGACAACAGCTACATCACCAAAGACCTCAACCTGAAGCAGTTGCGCAAGTGCCAGGAGTCCGTAGACACGGCCGTCAAGGAGTTGAAGCAGGACCTGAGCAAGGCGAAGGACATCCAGAAGGCCAAGCGCAAGATATGGGAGGTCTACGGTGGCACTTCGGAGTTGACAAAGGAGTTGAAGAGACGCGGACATCAGGCAAGGACGTTCGGGATGCACAACGGCTGGGATTTCAGTAAGATCGCTACGCAGAAGAAGTTTCTCGACCTGGTCGACGAGGAGCAGCCGGACGACATCTGGATGAGTCCCGAGTGCAAGCTCTGGACGCTGATGCAGGAGCGAGGTTGCAAGACGGACGAGGACAAGCAGAAGCTGCAGCAGCGGCGCTCGGACAACCATCAGACGCACCTGATGTTCTGCAGCAAGATCCACCTCAAGCAGTGGAAGGCTGGACGAGACGCACACTTGGAGCAACCCTCTACGGCACGAAGCTGGAAGACGAAGGCGCTATACGAGTTACCTGGACACCACGTGCTTTTCGACCAGTGCATGACAGGATTGGAGATTCCAGGAGAGGGCTTGGCTCGCAAGAGGACTGGAGTTCGCACAACACGACGAGGACTGGCAGAAGGACTATTCGAGTATCAGTGCGACAAGCAGCATGAGCATGTCCACCTGGAGGGCAAAATTCCAGGTACCAACCTACACCGCACGAGCTTCGCCGAGAACTACTGGACCCTGTTGGCCGAGATCCTCAGCGATCTGCTGGAGCAGCCCTCCCCACAGGACTCGGATATCCTAGTGCTGGGTCTCGAGGCAGGCGAGGACGCGGTGGAGCATATCTACCACACGACGGTGGACAGCAGCAGCAATGACCCGAAGGAGATGTACCAGAACAGGCTGCTGAGGAGCGAGTTCGGCCAGAACGTGGTCAGGTATGTGGAGCGCCTCCACAAGAACCTGGGCCACCCCAGCACGGAGGTTTCCGTGCGGATGCTGACGGCGGCGGAGGCGAGAGAGGAAGTCATAGCGTGTGCGAGGAAGTACCTATGCGCGATCTGCGCAGAGCGGAAGAAGGCCTCCCAACCACCGAAGTCAGCACCACCATCCTGGAAGACGTTCAACCAGGCAGTCTACTTGGACTTTTTCGAGTTCAAGCTGCGCTCGGGCTCGGCGAAGATCGCGCACATGCTGGACGGAGCTAGTCGTTTCCAGAAGTGCCGCATCGTGGCGCGAGAGACCTCGGCCGAGGCCATCAAGTCCATCGAGAAGGCGTGGATCAAGCACTACGGGACCCCGACGAGGCTCGTGATGGACGAGTGCGGCGCGGCGCGCAGTCAGGAGATGCTCGACTGGGCCAGCAACCAGAACATCAGGATGCGGATTGCCCCTGGCGAGGCTCACCACGTCCTGGGACCAGTTGAGCGAGCTCATCAGGTGACGCGTGAGACGCTGGAGCGTTGGTTCGAGGAGACTGGCCTAGAACGCACCATCGAGAACCTGAAGTCGGCGCTGGACTACGTACCCAACCAGATCAACAGGATGATGCATCACAAGGGCTTCAGTCCAGCGCAGTGGGTTTTGGGCTACAACCCTGAGCTCAACGACTCCCTGTCCGCGGACACGCTGTCCGTGCCAGCGTCGGAAGCCTACCTGGAGGAGGAGACGTTCCAAGAGGCGATGCAGAGGCGGACGGCAGCGGCGATGGCTTTCATCAAGGCGGACTCGACGGAGCGTTTGCGCAGGGCCTTCCTGCGCAAGAGGCGCGACACCCACGAGGCGGTGAGCGTGGGCGACGAGTGCTACTACTGGCGCGACCGTGGAGCGAGTCGGCTTCAGAAATCACGCTGGAGAGGGCCGGCTACCGTGGCTCTACGAGAGGATGCGGAGAACGGCCAGCCCAAGGTCTACTGGGTCACGCACGGCGGGAGCTTACTGAGGTGCAGCCCGGACCAGATCCGACCCATCGTGGAGCGGATCGGTGAGCCTAAGCGACCAGCAAACCTACAGGCAGCACAGGACACACTACAGGGACTACGACGCGGAGGTATCGTGCAGTTCTTCGATATCAGCCAGCTGCCCGGGCCCACTGGGGAGGACCGAGCGGACGAGCCGATGGGGGAGGACGAACCGTTGCCTACGGCGGGAAGCGTGCCGACGGTGGAGCAGGCCATGGCAGGTCAGCTCAGGCAGGTTTCTGCCCAAGGCTCCGAGCCGCAGGCCAAGCCAAGGCCGGCTAGCAGTGAGGACCCACCACCGACGGCGCACGAAACGCCGATACCTGATCAAGATGAAGACCCCGATTTACATCCGCAGCCAGCGGCAGCACCGGCACAGGCAGAGTCAGAAGGTCAAGAAGCTGACGGTGACAGTAGTGCTTCGAGACTCATCACCCCCACACCGATGACGACAGTGACCGACTCGGCAGCCAGGTTCAGGGAGATGCGGAGGAACCTGGACGCCGCAGAGATGGCACCGATGCGGACGTTCTCAGCTCAGCGCGACCGACAAGAACACCGGTCGGGACCCTACGACGAGGTGGAGTTTTCCGAGGACGTGATGTTCCTGGATGTGGACGCGCTGCCCAAGGGCTGGAGCTACAGCGAGCAGGAACAGGCACTCTACCTGGACTACGAGGAGTGCTACGTGGCCGGTGAGCTGAGCGAGAAGAACATGAACGCGGAGGACAAGGCCAAGTTCGCGGAGGCGAAGCGTGTGGAGCTGCAGAGCTTCTTTGACAACCAGGTCTGGGAGCAGGACAAGAACGAGGTGAAGGACCCCAACAAGGTGCTGAGAGCACGTTTCCTGCTCAAGTGGTCGAAGAACGCCGACGGAAGTCACAGGGCCAAGGCAAGGCTAGTTATCCAAGGATTTCGAGATCCAGACGCTGTTGCGGGGAAGCTGGCCAAATCCTCACCGACGATGACTAGACTGAGCAGAACCTTCATCGTGATGTTTGCGCGCATTCACGGCTGGATCCTGTTCACCGCGGATGTCAGCACCGCGTTCCTGCAGGGCAAGCGCTCGGATCGTGGGATATCCGTGCTGCTACCGGCGGAGGCGTGCAGGATGCTCGGCTACCAGCCGGGTACGCGGATGAAGCTGCTCAAGAGTATGTATGGCCTGAGCGACGCGCCGAGGCTTTGGTGGGAGGAAGCTACAGACCGCATGATTGCGCGTGGTTTCGTGGTTCACCCGCTGGACCCTTGCCTGTTCCTGAGCTACCGCCTGGACGCGACCAACTCGAAGGTATTCGACGGAGCGATCGGACTACACGTTGACGACATGCTCGGTGGCGGCAGCAACCAGGACGGCAAGGCATGCTTCTCAGCGCGCGTGAAGGAGCTCAAGAAGGTTTTCAACTTCAGGACGTGGGAGGACACCGAGAAGGGCACGCTGAATGTAGCAGGGGACGCCTCGATGGATTTCTGCGGGAACCAGCTCTCAAAGACGACGACAGGAGATTATCAGATGAGCTGCGAAGCCTACATCAAATCGCTCAAGCCGATCACCGTGACCAAGAACCGAGCGAGCGACCTGAAGCTGGCTATCACTGAAGGCGAGCGTCGACAGCTACGAGGATTGATGAGCAGCTTAGCGTGGCCCAGCAACCAGGCAGCGCCACACTTGCAGTGCAGTGTCAGCCTGGGCCAAGGTACGATCAACGAGGGCTCCACCGTGCAAGACCTGGTGGAGGCCAACAAGACGCTGCGGTTTGCCAAGGCCAACAGCGACGTGTGCCAGGTGTTCCCCAAGATATGTGATGACCCGGACGACGTGACGCTCATTTGCATGACGGACGCAGCGTGGGCAGTTCGCCGAGATGGGAGCTCGCAAGGAGGCTACCTCATCCTGGCTACTCACAGGCGCGTGCTCAGCGGCGAGACCGTCAAGTACGTGATCGTCGACTGGCGCTCGTGGAAGCTACCGAGGGTGAGCAGATCCTCACTGGCGAGCGAGGCCCAAGCTGCAGCTGGAGGCGTGGACGCGCTCGAGTACGTGAAGGTGCACTACAGCTTGATGCTCGACCCCACGCGGGATCCGAGGCTGAATGGCACCATGACGGTGCTGGGCAAGAGTGCGCTCGTGGTGGACGCGAAGGCTCTCTATGACGCCGCCCAGAAGCCCCACGTGCACAACTTCGATGACAAGCGGACAGGCATCGAGGTGCAGGTGCTCAAGGAGCGCATGACGGCGAGCGCAACGGGCTGGTACTGGGTCAGCTCGGAGCGCCAGTTTGCAGACGGCTTCACCAAGCTGGCAGCGCGACAGTTGTTGGCAGACCGACTCACAGCCTCAGGTTCGACGAGAAGTTAAAGGCCGCCAAGAAGAAGACCGCCAAGGACCGCCAGGCAGAGGCCAAGAGGTTCGCCATATCTAAGCCAAAGACCAGCGCGATGACGGCCCTGGCGACTATGACGTCTATGACGACAGCGGCGGCCAGCGAGGTGAAGATCTACGAGAGCGAGGCGGAGCAGGCCCTGGTGGAGTTCAAGTGGACCGAGAGCCATAGGATTGTGAACAGCATACCGCTCAGCACGTTCGTGAAAGGGCTTTTCAGCATGCTGGTGGCGATCGTGCTGCTGGGCTTCGTGTGCTGCGCAGTGCTCACGGCTGCAGGAACGGCGCGGCCGGTCCCGACATCTCCAGAGCCAGGCAGTGAGAAGGAGTTTGTACCGACACAGATCCCGAAGGAGAAGAAGGTGAAGTTGAGTACGGTCAAGTGGGACATTGGTTGCCAGGGACCAGTCAACTACACGAGTGTTGGGCGACCCGACGGACAGTATGGACAGTACAAACACGTGACGAATGGATTTCGGCGAGGCTGGGAGGTTACCCGTGAGCTGCATATTGTGCAGCAGAAGCCGCACCATGAGTGACGGTGCCCCGGCAAATTTTGATTTGCATCCTGTTCCAGTCTCGTGCCTTTTCTTTCCCCACTCTCTCAATGAAGCTATTTCAGCAGAGGTATGCGACTACTTTGTTTGGCGCAGTTTCTCTCGAGCAAGGCAGAGTTGGTGTCCGGACGCCAGTTTGGGCGGTCGAGCCGACGATAATGATCTGCGAGCTGCTGTGGTGTTCTTTTATTTTTCATGTAATTGAGGTGAGAGTTTTACACGTTTTCATTCCCTTTCTTACCAATGTGAATTGCACTCCGTACAATGTGTTTTCAGAGGTGTTTCTGACTAATATGTTAGAGCAAGCACTCTCCCCCCCAGCAGCGTGGCAGTATGTATAAAGCAGGCATGATAGAAAGGAGCAAGCACTGTTGCCGTTTGAGCTCGAGAGGCCTCTCGACTGACCAGAAACGCTATCATCACCCTCCCTGCACGCAGAGCGATTGTGGACGAGGGTGTTCGAGGAGAAGTTGGCAGGTTTCGGACTTCGATTCGACCACGATTGAAGACTTAGAGTGCTTCGACCGATTCACACCACTGGGACCTTCGGTGGAGCTCCCTATGGGGCCACGAAACGCTCTGCCCTGGGTGGGGGGAACCGCATGCGCCCCCCCCCCACTGGGACCTTCGGTGGAGCTCCCTATGGGGCTACGAAACATGTGAGAGGTGTGCCGAGAGCAGAGGCAAGGAGGGGGAGGAGGGAGGCAAGGAGGGGGAGGAGGGAGTGGGGGAGGAGGGAAGGAAAGAAGGAAGGAAGGAAGGAAGGAAGGAAGGAGGAACGCGGGGCACCATCTCTTCAAAACGAGGACCCAACACCACAGGGTGGTTGGAAAAAATAGTCCCCAGACTACTTTCTGACTATTTTTTGATATTCCCCATGTAGAGGGACCGGCCCGACTTAAACGTGGGGAGAGGTTGGCAGCGAGCGAGGTGCAATTTGTCACGGACACCCCCCCCACCGCGCCTCCCTCTCGACCGCGGCAGGGCCGTTCGCCCTCGCAGACCGCGGGCCTGCGCCCAGGTACAAGCGCAGCGCAAAACAAGGAGGAGGAGGAGGACGGAGACGTGGGCGACGAGGACGAGGGGGACGAGGACAACGAGGACGACGAGCAGGAGGGCGACGTCGACGACGAGGAAGACGACGACCCCTGACATCCGCCGAGATGCTTTTTCCAATGCGCGGCCTCCGAGGCCCCAGCCCTGTTCCCCACGGCTAGTTTCCCGCCCCGGATCCATTCTTGATAACCCCAGGGACTAAGAGAGGGCCTTGGAGACCGAAATCGAAGAAACGCCCAGGATCGAAAAAGTCGGATCGTCGGAGGAGGACGAGGAGGGCGGCCGAACGGCGCTTCGACGCCTGGGCCCGCGTAGCCGCCGCTAGGAAGCGGCGCCATCGCCGGCGCGTCCGCCCCGGTGAGGCTCATCACGAAGGCGACCGCGTCGCCTGCGGCCGGGCGGGGGTGATGGCGATGCGCGGCCGTCGACGCCGACGCCGACCACGACGACGCGACGAAGTCGCCCCTCGTCCTCGACCCGCGACCTTGCCCGCGTCGGCGACCTCCTCCTCCTCCTCCTCCTCCTCCTCCTCCTCCTCCTCCTCCTCCTCCTCCTCCTCCTCCTATCCTCCTCCTTCTCCTCCTCCTCCTCCTACATACATACGTACACGGCACCTACAGGCGGCGAGCCAATCAAAGATCGGGGCCCTCTCCCATCTGACGTAGGGCTCGATATGGAAGGTATATGAGAGGTGGCGCTCCCCAGGGGGGCACCCGAGAACACAGCGGCAGGGTGCTCAACCGAGAGGGCGGCACAAACAAATATCAGAGAACGATCCTGCGATCTGGGGCATGTGGCCCATAAAGGAGGTGCCTCGGCGATTGCTCAAGGACCCTCCAAGGTTTGGGAAAGGAAACCCCCTTGGGGTTGGGGCAACACACCATTACGCAGCATCCTTAATTGGGCAACCTCGTGGGTCGTACACGGGGCAACCAAATGAGTAGCACGACAAAACGTGAATGGCCCACAACGGTTACAGAACAGGATAGGGGCTATTGTCATGTGGATTTGCCTGCACAAAAGCCGTGCGACGGTACCAATGAGGCAGGCGGGCAGACGACAGAGGCGAGACACCTGGGAAGGGGCGTGCAGGGACCGCGCCTGCACCGCCATGGCTGCCTAGTCGAACGTCCGCACTCCACGCACTGCCAAATATCAAAGCCCAACACAAAATTGCGGAGTCCATGCCTTCCTCTGACTGTCTCTTTTCTTTGGGGGAGCCCTCGGGATCCGCTCCAGCTCGCCAAACACATCGCGAGCATGGCCCCAGAGCTCCAGGAGAGAAACCAAAACTTGCAATGAAAAGCAGCAAGCCAGAATGTACAGGCGGCGCCCACATGTTTGACGTCATTCCGTGAGACCTGACGTGTGGCAACTGCTCTGGCAACGGTATCCGCCCACCCGTTACCGAGGACCCGCCTATGCTCCTCCATCGTCCTGTCTGCTATGATCTGGTCTTGATGAGCTTTGATATTATGGATAACCCAGCCATGCATGCTCGTGTGACGATTTATCTGCATCCAGTGTCCAGCCTGAGATTTTCTACCGCCTCTGGACCGAAGCCAACATCTTAGCCAACATCTTGAACAACAACGTGTGGTGGCTCATCATATGATGGTACATGCAACTGTGCACAGGCATGTAGCAAACCATGCTCTGCTAGGTTGGCAGTGCAAGAAACGTACGGCGGCAAGACACCTCGCATGGCTCTGCGTAGATCACAATTTTCTGTAACTTCAGCCGCGCACAACCCCCCCCCCTCGCGAGGAAGGTGGTGGCGGGGTGGACAACAGAGCCATTGATAGAGATGTCCATCCCTGGGGTATCAAGAACAAACTGACAAATCTCTCCCCCCTGTCCAAGCACTCAACTTCATCAGCGCTAGGAAAGGGGGGGTTTTCCAATAGGGGAACTGGAAGCCAAAGGCCGCAGAAAAGGGGGTCCACGGGCTCAGCCTCAAAGAACGCTTCAACGAGCTCAGAATCCAGCTCTTGGCAACGAGGCTCTCCGAATGGACACCCCCAGACCCTATGGAAGGTGGTACCGGGCGCTCCGCAATGCTGGCACTTGGGCAAAATTTGTTATCCTCTCTGGTGGAGGACCGTGCCCATGCAGTAGTACCCCGTAGAAACTTAACGCAGGACCTGCTGGCCTTCAAACGTATGTTTGGGTGAGTTCCAGGCCCTGCTGACAGGATGTGTCCACAAGCCTCTCAAGCGGATCTGATCGGCCCTGGGGGAAAGAACCGCCTGAAGCTTGCAACGCACAACTCTATGTAACTGCTGGTGCTGCTGCTGTTGCTGCTGCAAATCCTGCCCAAAGAGTGCTTGAAGCTAGGCAGAGGGAACAAACGTGAATTTGCAAACAATGCCCCCTCTCGTTCGCACACCTTTTGGGCTCAAGAACTCCCATCCAGCTTTCCTGCACCAAAACAGCATATCGTGGATGGGGCTAGACGCGACTCTGTGCCAGAGGCAATGGTGGGATGTTTTATGGAATTCCTTTTGCGCCAGCGGAAAGGCTTCCGCAACTCGCGGGCAAATAACTTGTCCTTTGCCCACAGCTGGGCATCGGTACCTGACCACCACTCAGCACTGTATCTGCGGAGGGTGGCACCAGCGTGCAAAACAGCAAGGTCCTTAGCAGGTGCAAGGCACCAGCCGAGGTCAATGCTGGCGCCCGCGCCCCTGGAGGCCAGTGTTTTTGTTGCCGTCTGGAGGCGAAGGGCGCAGATCTCTTTCGAAGTGTGTCCTCGGACTTCCTTCCCATACGTGAGACTGGACTTGATGCCACAGACAAAAATATGTTCTTTGCTGGTTGTCGTTTTTCTCATCCGCCTGATCAGAGGGAACCTCGTGAGGCCTTGCTTCCAACGAGCCCTGGGTTTGGCCTTGGCCCTTCTGGCGGCGGGGAAACGCCCCTTGTCGTCCTCGTACTCCTCTTTCGTCCTCGTCATCGTCGTCGCCGTCCTCCTCCTCCTCGTCCTCCTCCTCCGTTTTCTCCTCATCCTCTTCCTCTTCCTCCTCCTCCTCCTCCTCCTCCTCCTCCTCCTCCTCCTCCCTCCTCCTCCTCCTCCTCCTCCTCCTCCTCCTCCTCCTCCTATCTCCTCCTCCTCCTCCTCCTCCTCCTCCTCCTCCTCCTCCTCCTCCTTCCCTCCCTCCTCCTCCTCCTCCCTCCTCCTCCTCCTCCTGCCTCCTCCTACCTCTCTCTCCTCCCTCCTCTCTCCATCCTCCTCCTCCTCCTCCTCCCCTCCTCCTCATCCTCCTCCTCCTCCCCTCTCTCTCCTCCTCCTCCTCTACCTCCTCCTCCTCCTCCTCCTCCTCCTCTTCCTCCTCCTCCTCCTCCTCCTCCTCCTCCCCTCCTCCTCCTCCTCCTCCTCTCATCCTCTCCTCCTTCATCCTCCCCTCCTCCTCCTCCTCCTCCTCCCTCCTCCTCCTCACTCCTCCTCCTTCCTCCTCTCTCCTCCTCCTCCTCCTCCTCCTCCTCCTTCCTCCTTCCTCTCCTCCTCATTCTCCCCTCCTCCTATTCCTCTCTCCTCCTCCTCCTGCATCCTCCTTCCTCCTCCTCCTCCTCCTCCTCCTCCTCCTCACTCCTCCTCCTCTCCTCTCCTCCTCCTCCTCCTCCTCCTCCCTCCTCCTCCTCCTCCTCCTCCTCCTCCTCCTCCTCCTCTCTCTCCTCTCCTCCTCCTACCTCCTCCTCCTCCTCCTCCTCCTCCTCCTCTCTCCTCCTCTCCTCATCCTCCTCCTCCTCCTCCTCCTCCTCCTAACCCTCCTCCTCCTCCTCCTCCTTTCCTCCTCCTCCTCCTCCTCCTCCTCCTCCTCCTCCTCCTCTCTCCTCCTCCTCCTCCTCCTCCCCTTCATGGTTCCCCTGCCCCCTCGTTTTCCCCTCTTCTTTGGCCCCCATGCCTCTTACTCCTTGTTTATCTCGATCGCGCTGGTCCTAGCGTTTCGACGGGTGACGTTGCGTTCCAACTTCGCCTCCCCGACCACCCACCTCGCTGATCAGCGCCAGGGCCACCCGACCCTGCCCGCCATTCTCGCACACGCTGACTACAATCATTGAGCTGACCACGTCGGCCCCACATCTCGATGAGCAGCGACGGAGCCTGCTGCTGGTGATCGCCGCTCTCGCGCTCGCCAGTCCCAACGCTGTGGTCGGACGTCGCAGAGCTCCGAACAAGGGGACGCGAACGGCGCTGCCCGATGCTGCTGTCGGCCCCGAGGCTGTGCCTCTCGGGTGCTAACGTCGCCCCCGAAGGTACAACGCAACGGGTGGGCTCTCTGGCTCGGACCAGGGCGCAGCTTAAGGGAGGATGGGAAGGTCCTCCTCCTCCTCGTCCTCCGCGTCCTCCGCGTCCGCCTCCTCCTCCTCCTCCTCCTCCTCCTCCTCCTCCTCCTCCTCCTCCTCCTCCTCCTTCTCCTCCTCCTCCTCCTCACTCTCCTACCTATAGTAGCGATGGTGGACTACCAGCTCGTCAGCAGCCAGCACCCGCGTCAAGACAGGCGGCCTTCTCGCAGGCGCCGGCACCAGCGTCACGCTGCTGCTGACGGTGCAGGGCCTTCTCGCACGCGACGATGCCAGAGCTGCTGCCGATGTTGGCGTTGGGCCCCAACACCTCTCGCTGAGCAGCCCCAAGACTAGCTGCCACTGCTCGCGCTCCTCGCACGTCCTGACTTTGGCGTTTCCGCTGAACGTCGCAGAGCCCCGTAGTGTTCGCCAAGACTGTTCATGCAGCGGCCGGCGCATAGGCTGGGCCTCGCAGGAGAGCACCTTTGCTCGGATCAGATAGCATCCAACACCAAGGGTTAAGACAACTGGGTTTCTCGCAAGCGCTGGTCCCAAGGCTACGGATGTGGCCGTCGAGCTCCAGCTTCGCCTCCCACATTGGGCTTGGCAGCGCCAAAGCCTTTTGCCTCTGCACGCCCTTCTCACACGCGCTGGTCCCAGTATTGCACTGTTGATGGCGTCAGGCTCTATGCTCGCATTACGCACCTCGCTGAGCTACGAAAGGGCCTGCAGCAATGGCCCGCCCTCCTCGCACGCGCTGATCCCAGCGTTGAAGGTTGCGATGCCCACCCAGCTCCAGAATCGCCATCCCAAATCCCCTGAGTAACGATAACGCACGCTGCCAACGAAACGCTCTCTCGCAAGGGCTTGTCCCTGCGTCGAACCTCATAGCGCCCGGTTCTAACCTCGCCTCCCGCATGTCGTAAAGTAACGACAACGCCTGCTACCACGTCGCGCCTCTTTCGCCGGAGCTGACCGCAATGCTGCGACTGACGAAGTTCGCTCCAGCTTCGCCATTGACAACTCGCCGAACAGCGACAACGCCTACTGCCAGCGCCGGCTCTTCTCGCACGCACTCTCATCTGACTGTAGCTTCGCTAC